AACTCTAGAGCTGGAAGGCACTGCAAGGACCATCAAGTCCTGCTCCCTATCAAAGCAGGGAATGGAGTAAGAAGCATAGGGTAATGACAGGTTAGGGTAATGTGAAAGTTCCTTTTTTGGACTAGATTTCCAACAGTCCCCCAGCCAGTTTTGTTTGCTTTGGAACAGTACAGGCAGCTTTGGAAATATATTTCTAGAAACAGATTTTGGATGTTTGCTGAAGGACCACATGTTCTTGTAGTTGCAGCATTTATCCGTTTCTTTCATTTTCGCCTGTATGGAAGCCTGTGAAATTGTGGATGACTATATTCAATGAGTAATCATAAAACCCAGATAGAAATTGTTTCTAACAAGCAATCAGTCAAAACAGTGACTGCACATTTTGCCTTATAACTCCTGTTGTGTAATTTTTAGAGACTAACTTTTTTTTTTAAAAAAAAGTGAAGTACTGGAATCTGTGCTAGATGATGGTCCAGACAGGTATCACGTGGCACCTCTTAAAGTGGGAAAACCCCCAGATAAATGAGTCATATGGCAGCCCTATTTTATACCCACTTAGCTAATGTGAGCCCCATTTAACTCAAAGGGAATCACAGTTCCAGTCCACTTCCAAACAGGAGTTTGGAACAAAAGAAAACAGGTCACTAAACACATTTATTGTCCAGTCCATTTTTTTTAATTGCCAGTGCAGCACAGTATACATGTAATGTTTCTTATTAAAAGTAACTCCCACTGAGTTAGATGAAGCTTTTTCAGGATGACCCATTTACTGCAGCAAACTTCCACAGAGGTGTTCTGTAACTGCAACAAGAACAATTAGAACAAAAGAACCCTTTGGCACTCTTGAAGACCAACAAAACTATAAATTGGGAAGTTTGTTTCCTTTATCTTGATCTTATGAGGTAGGCTCTAGGAATTGGTATAGAAGCCACTGAGCTAGATCTCAGGCCACTAAAGCTGCCAACCACTCTCCAAGACTAGCCTCTGGCTAATGGAGTCATCTCTCATTGATGGAGAAAAGGTGCCATACAAGTAAGCATGTTGGGTCCTAAGTCTGGTTAACACTTTACTCATGCAACCACAAGAAAAGGAGCCCCTACTTGCACCAATACTGGATTTTGTAGTTGTTTTAGTTCAGTTTCTGTTTCATTCAAACAGGCAAGTATGCCCACATGCACAAACTGGGCGGTTCAACTAGGCCTTTAGCAGTAGGTTGGGCCATCAAATTTACAGAAACCATGTTGAGAAGGGGCATGCAAATAATACCTGACCCATAGAATTATTGAGTTGAAAGGGCTTATAAGGCCATTGAGTCCACACCACCTCCTCCCCCTGCTCAATGCAGGAATCCGGATCAAATCAGATCTTACAGATGGTTGTCAAATTTTCTCTTGAATACTTCCAGTGTTGAAGCACTCACCCCCCTCTAGAGGTAATTGATTCCATTGTTACGCTGCTCTAACAGTTAGGAAAGTTTTCATGATTTTCAACCGAAATCTGGCTTCCTGTAACTTGAGTTCACTATTATGTGTCCTGCACTCTGGGATGATGAAAAATAGATCCTGTCCTTCCTCTTTTGACAATCTTTTAAGTATTTGAACAGTGCTATCTTATCTTCCCTCAATCCTATTTTGTCAAGTCTAAACATGCTGAGTTCTTTCAGTCTTTTCTCATAGGGCTTCGTTTCCAATATCCTGACCTTTCTTGTTGCCCTCCTCTGAACTTGTTCTGGTTTGTCGGCATCCTTCTTAAAGTGCAGTGTCCAGAACTGGACACGGTATTATAGATGAGGCATAACCAGTGCCAAATAGAGAGGGATTACTTCTGTTAATGCAGGGGAAAATATACCTTTGTGCCTTTTTTGCATCCACATTGAAGTGTTGGCTCATATTCAGCTTGCGATCTACAACAAATCCAAGATCCCTTCTTGGTTGTAGTATTACTGCTCCAAGTATCTCCCATTTTGCATTCATTTCCCTCACTGCCTGTGTAGAACATGGCATTTACCCCTGTTAAATTTCATTGTTGTTTTCAGCCTAGTGCTCCTCATGAACTCCCTCATGCAAGTTATTAAAAAAAATATAAAAGAGCACCTGGCCCAGAATTGAGACTTATGGTTATAGCTTCACCATTTCACACAGTGGCAATGGGTCCTGGTTTCACTCCAAATGAAATTATCTTTCCAGACATTATATTTGCAAAGGCTTTCATGGCCGGGATCTAATGGTTGTTGTGGGTTTTTCGGGCTCTTTGGCCGTGTTCTGAAGGTTGTTCTTCCTAACGTTTTGCCAGTCTCTGTGGCCGGCATCTTCGGAGGAGAGCATGCTGTGCTCTGGTGTAGTTGGCAACAATCTTCAGAATACGGCCAAAGAGCCCAAAAAACCCACAACAACCATTTCCAAACATTATCTATGGAAAGTGAAGCCAGTACTTTTTTTTTTACTTGTTGAACAGTCATATTGAATAATTGGATGCAACAAGAGTTAGTCACTACAATGTCTTGGATGATTTGATCAATCTCCAGAGACAATTTTCTCTTCTTCCTGTTGATCAAAGGTGTTTTGTTATTTGTGAAAGTGAACTGTAGGTGATTTTCCTTCAGGAGGGCTAGTGAGGGCACATCAGATCTAAAGTTTTGAGTAAATGCCTGTTAATGTTACCTTTCAGGTGCTATCTTTTTAAAAATTAAATTTTGAACGGCTTTTTCTGAGCAGTCTTCCAAAAGAGAAATGAAAAATTATGGTAGCATAATTAGACAGAAGTTACGTAACTCTCTTATAACTCTCCTTGGTTCTTTTCCTTGTGTCAGAGTTGGGAGTAAGAGCAACCATGTTGTTTAGAGTGCCTAGTGCTCATCATGAACTCCCTTATCTTGTAATGGGCATTCCACTAGGTACATGTTCCTGGGACTCCAAGCCTACTGTCCTTTCATTTTGATTCCAAGTAGAACAAAAAGCATGGAGGGAGGCAGGATAGAGGCAGGGCAGGTAATAAAGGAAGAAATGCAAACAATGAAAGGATATGAATGCCAGACAAATAAGAATAACCTGAAGATCTAAATTGGCATGTCCACTGTCTAAGAAACTAGAACCAGTCAAGCTGAGAAGAAAACCGGAGTCAAATAACTCTCTTCAGTCATTTTCTGGAGCCCTGGATTGAGTGTCAATGGAGAAAAAAAGTTCTTACCTGATCCACATTTACCATATAGCACAGGACAATCTGGGTTTGGCTAGAATGCTTCAATATGTAATCTGCTATTGTCTAGAAATCATTACTAAGGCGTGACAACTAATTTCTCCAGTGAATTTGGGGGATTTACCAATAATTCATGTACATTGGGGGGGGGATTAATAATACTAGCATACAGTTGTCAAATTCCTTGCCTTAAAGCTGTCAATGATAGGACCTTTTGGGAGTCACAAATCCAGGGTGTCACCATGACATGGAAGCAACTTGATGGCACATAGTAACAAAGCAGCATCAGGAAATATCTTCTTGAAAGATGAGTGTCAATGGTTTAATTAACCATAATTATATGCCTTCAAGTAAATTTAAACTTGAGGTGACCCTTTCTAGGGTTTTCTAGGTACAAGAGTTCTCAGAAATGATTTACCAGACCTTTCTCCTGTGAGGACTCTGGGATTGTGTAGCTAACCCAGGAACAGACAGGCTGGTTTTTCTTCTTGTGATCTCTGGCTCTGTAGCTATCTAGCAAGCTCAATGGTACAATACATGTTAAGTAATATTAATTAACTAATTAATATATTTTTATTTTAAATATATATATATTAAATATATATTTCCTTCCTTCCTATTAGAATAATAATAGAACAATGAAGTTGAAAGGTGATGTAAGGCCATCGGGTCCAACTCCTGCTCAATGCAGTAATACAAATCAGAGATTACCTGCCTATCCATAAATTTCTCTTGAAGGTCTCCAGTATTGGAGCGCTCACCATCTCTTGAGGTGATTGATTCCATTTCCTTCCTTCCTTCGTTTTTTGGTGTCTAGGTGTCCTAGTGCAACAATGCTGGCACCAAGCTTTATTTAGTTAGTTATTTAAAGAAATGGCATTATTGTGTTTCAAGTTGGTTGGCAGAGACTGAAGTCTGCACAGGATCACGTTTTTGCATCAGTCCAACTGACAACACCATCTGAATGGATGCAAAAGAAAAAATAGTAGAAGCCCCTGCAGTGGAGGAAAAAGTCATGGCTGGGGGGGGGGGACTCTGGGCTGATTTGCATTTACTTTTATGTCATGTGGTCAAGAGAAAAAAAATGCTGATCAGACTATCCCAATCCCATAGCATTTCTCACATTTTATGTCAATGTAGTTTCACCCTAAATTTAATCTGATGGCTTGACTCCTGGTGATTTTATTCTTTACATTTACATAAGGTGTGCCACAATTAAGATCAGGCTGTGAATCTGTACAATAGAGAGGTTTTACAAGTTGCTCTGTCAACATTTTTACTTAATCTTCTTCATGAACACACTTTCTGACTCTTTCTGGGAAGGTGTTTTGGATTCCACAGGAGTCTAATGGCAAGCATGCCCATTCTGCAATACATCAGAAGCAGTGTATCAGCACAGCTGGTACAGAGTATCACAGATTCGTATTGCTATTTTACTCAAGATGGGGTGATGGGATGACCAATTGTTACTGGAAGAGAAACGTCATGATAAAAACAGCAGCACTGTTTATGAGATTAGATAGCTTTGGTAGACTGTCCCTGTAGCTAATTGGCTCCAATCAAGTCACCAGTTATTTCCACTATAGGGGGCCAGATAATTGCTACCGTGCAAATGATTCCATGAGTGACATCAAAAGAATCTTTAAGTCAGTTAATAAAGATGGTCATGCTTTGACCCTAATTCTTTCAGCAGCGCTATTTGACTATTGTTCGTAATTCCTGTGAAGATTAGCAGTAAAAAAAGAGCCTACATTTAATGGGAGATGGGTACAACCTTAAAAGAGCATTTACAAGTGAATGGTACATACAGTTTAAAAGTTTTAATATCATCAGTTGCATAAGACCATACGCCCACCATTCAGCCAGAATACTTTATCCCCCTGGAAACAGGAAATGTTTATTCTTAAAGTATGGACAACCACTAAAATTAGAGAGCCACTAATACCAATGCCATACCTCTAGTGATACTTGGCTCTGACTTATAGATTGTCTGGCCGGGAGGAAAATACATGCTTGAGGTCTAACAAAAGGCCAGGTGTGGTTGACCTTTGAATCTTATTTTCTTTCCATGTACACTGAAGACATTAAGTATACACAAGATTACCTCCATTTGTTTTTCATGGAACCAGCTCCGTTGTAAACGTGATTAGGATTGTAGCCCTCAAATAAGTCTTGTACTGAAGACAGTGTTTCACAACATGGCACTGAAAACCTAATCTACACATCAGGTTGTTGCTGTGCAGCTTCGACCATACATTTAAACAGATCAGATGCAGTTGTCAATCATGGATGTACAACAAAAGGTGCAATTTGATAATGTGTGATATTTCACATTCAGATGAACATCTAAACAGGATATGATTATGAAACTGGAAGCTGGAAAGAAGGATAACTAATTGTTGCTGAAATCCCATTGGTATTCATGTAAGGCTTAACTAAGCTGCCTTTGGCCAATTATGGCAAATTCATGAGGTGCCAGCTCCTGTCTCAGCTGCATGCCTGGTCAGAGTCCTGGGTGCTTTGCTACTTTTGACAATCTGAATTGTATGGATTCCTCTTCTTTTCTGTACCGTTTTTTCCCCTAAAGTCAATCATCCCTTTGATACTGGGGATGCTTCTGTATTCTCTGCAAATACAAGGAAACTATATTACAACTGTTTATGATACTATAATATTATGGTCTACCTCCTATGGTCCCAAATCACACCAGATCATTTCTAGTGAGAAAGACAACTGTTATTCACACTATTATTATATTATTAAGAACATTCACACCAGAATTGGGTAGTCCTGGTAGAGTTTCATGGTTTGTGGACTGGGAGAATCTACATCCTTGCTATGACACTTCTTTGTTTAGCTTCACCTTAGATAAGCCAGCAAAACCAGGATAGATTTGGAGTGTCCATCACTGCAGAGTGCAGACCCATGGAATTTGCAGGTTTAAGTTCACAGAAATTAATTCAAATCAGGATGGTCTGAGAACTGTAGCTCCAGATAGTATTAATTTTTCCATTGTGTAAATTCCATAATACTGTTCGATATGTGAATGAACACCTAGGGAGGTAAATAGTGTAGTCTGTATTATTCTGGTAAGATCTAAGGGAAATCACAGTCCCGTCACCCCCATGCTGTTACAAAGTTAGTAAATAATGTACAAGTGCTAATAGGACTTTCTTTAAACTTGCCTTCATTGAGTCTTGCTGCAAAGCGATATGAGCCAAAGTCCTGTCACTCAGCATAGTAAATTACACCAGAGTAGGCCCACTGAATCAATTAAAAGTTAGTGAGTCAACTCCTTTGTAAGTTCCATTGATTCAAATTAATTTACATTAGTTGTTACTTACTATGTTACTTTAACTGTTAGGCCCATTTGAAATGCATTGAGGACTTAGTAAATTTCCAGTGATTCAATGGGTCTACTCTAATATGATCTTCTACATGAAGCAAGAGGACTTTGGTCACGGATAGGGGATTAAAATGGAAAAAGACCCATATCATCTAAGCGCCAGGCAATATTTCTTATTTCTCAACATCATTAAAGAAACAGGTCACAAATCTGCAATATATTTCTAGTGATCGAAAGGTAGAGAAAGAAAACAAGCATAACTCTTTAAGTAAAAAAATCCAGATACCAAAGAGCAAAATTTAATGAAAGCCAAAAACTGTTAAATATGGAATTTGTTGAGAAAAATGTCAATGTCTTTAAGGGTTCCCTCCCACCCCCCATTACTTTGTATTTAAGAAAAGTGTAGTAAAAATACATATTACAAGTTAACATTTCCCCTCTTCTTCTGCATCATTCTTCTTTTCCTCCTCCCACCCTTCCATTTGTCAAAAGCTTTTAAAAGATGAGTCTCATTTCCTATTGTCACAGGCATTTGTCCTCACATAGACGTCTGCTTCCCACACACTCGTCCAAACTGGCTGGCTCAACTGTCAGATAGGTCTCTTTGATTCCTTTGCCACAAAAGCAGCAGAGTTTGCTGAAGTGTTGTGGGGCTTATTTTGTTGTTCTTGTTCCATATAGGACACCCTTGTGTTCTGCTTCCATGGCATTTTAAGGTGGAAAGCAGTTGCCAGAAGATATGAACATTCTTCAGACTGAAAGAAGTACCGTGTCTTCATGAATATCTGAGAGATATATTCATAAAAAGCAGGCTTGGTTTGTGAGTCCTATGTGCTGTAAACACAAACACAGAACTAAACTCAAGAGGTAACCAAAGGCAGACATCAAACTAAAAGGAAAATATCACCACTGACAGAACAAGACCATGGAGACTTATTTTCAGAGGCTGAGCTCCAAGCCTTGACAGAGAGCTGGAGGAATGATGAAACTGGAAAGGTCTCCACTGGTACGGAGAGCACAAATGGGCACTAGACATGCTGTGCCCTCTTTAAAAGGAGCTGCAGTTTCTGTGTTGTCAGTCTTACGAAGGTGCCATCTTAAGGGGAGTGGAGGAAACCATATAGTGTTGAATGATAAAATCAGTTCTTAGAGACCAGCCTTTTTGCATTTATTGACACTGTATAAGCACAGCAAGTTATGTATGAAAGTTTATTTGTTTTTGAGCCAGTTGCCAGTTACACTTGTTGAAAAAACAAAAGCACGCATTTGTGCTACATCATGATGATCCACTGAACAAAGCTGTGCCACTTTGAAGCCTGTGGTGCATTCTCATCTTTCTTTCTTTCTTTCTTTTTCTTTCTTTCTTTCTTTCTTTCTTTCTTTTTCTTTCTTTCTTTCTTTCATTCTTTCTTTCTTTCCCTATGTATCACAGTCTCCTGTTTTACACATTAAGGTACCCACAGATCCCAGAAATTGAATTTAAGTTTCTGCTATACTGCTGGGTTTGCACTGGCACTTGGAGGAAGCTTTAGCCCCTTATAAAGTCTGGCACTGCCTTCTGTTCTTGGGCAAATGCATAAATGAGGATGGAGACTGTGGTGGAAGGGTTTCGCCTCCTCCAGACCTCTGATGGAGTAGGAGATACTTCCCCTTTAATACAGTTTTCTTGAGGGGAATGCTTTCTACTCTGTTCAAATTCCTTACTATTCATGATGGTGATGTCTCTCTCTCTCACACACATACAAATGAAACTTTTGTTTCCATGGAGAAGCTAATGCACATGTGACTGGGGGAAAAATACTGCTAGCAAGTCCACTTTCTTGTGCTTTGGGCAGTTCTATGGATTTCAGTGTTTCATTGCAAACTTGGATGAAAGACAGTTTTCAGTAGCAAGCAGGGCACCAGCTGGCTTGTCCTCTGTGTTTCACTTCCCCTCATGATGATGAATGAAAGGAAACCATGTCTGTTGGCTTTTCTGCAAATGATGCTGCTAGCCAAGACTTGATTCCTGAAACATTTTTTAAAAAAATCAGGGCCAGCTGCAAGCAACTACTGTGAAAGGCTGTATACAGGTGAATGCCCTTCCTCGTTGCTATTATTCACTCCAATCTTGATTTATTTATTTTCTTGTCATAGTAAATCTAATGTGACCCATTTTACTCCATAGAATGGCCATCAGGTATGGCTCACAAGGACCAAAAGCCCCCCAGATGTACCAAAAATAGCTTCAATGCCTGATGTCTAATGGTTTTCTACTCAAGAACGACCATGGAAAGGAAACCTTACAGAAGTGCAGGAATAAGGAAATGGCTGGTAATTGCCTCTTCACTTTTGAAAAGACAGGCAGGGAGGATATGTAATCTATCTATTTAATTTGTATTTTCTTGCCCTCCCCCTGTATAAAGCAAGTAGATATGGTCTTAGGTGACTGTTATCCTGTCCATTGTGGTAGCTTGCCAGCCACACTTCCTGGGAATGGATAAATTTCCCACACTTGTGACACTTTTAGCTCAAATAATCACTTCAGATAACCACTTCCAAGCTTCGTTTACCCGGGCTCTCCTTAAATCCAGACAGAGCCATTGGCCTCCTTTCTGGAAGTTTTCCCATTCCTTTCTCCATTTAGGCTTCTCTTTCAACTGTTCCAGAAGTCCCTCCTTTGACTACAGAATGGAGAACTCATTCAAGGGTCTAGTCAGCCTGGTGGCAGCAACTTTTAAACACAGTAGAGTCTTGTTGTCTCAAAGGATTTGTTTGTTTGTTTTCCTTTCATTGTTAGTAGTGTAGACATTTATGGTTTGCATCCCAAACTAAACCTGATTTTAAACTGTTGAGCAGGACAGGGCTGATATTTACCCTGACATCACGGGAATTAGTAAGAAAAAAAAGGTATATTGCACACACTAAGAACTTATTAACAACCAAGTTAAAAACAAAATGGCGCTGTCATCCTCAGGGTTCCTGTAACCGTGTACACAGGGATGTCTCCAAATTCTGTTCAGTCCAGTTGCCCTCTCCTTATTGCAGTACAGGATGTACTTTCTTCTGCCTATGGATTTACTGAAAAATAAACACACACAGATACACAAAGGAAAAAAGAAGGGAAAACAGATCTGATTTCCTCTGTAAGATCCACCGCATTGCCCCTCTTCTTTGCATGGGTTGGTTTGGCAAAGCCGGAGAAGCCGGGCCCAAAGAGACCCAGCTCTCAGCCAGAAGATCCATCAAGGTCAGTTATAACCCCGTTGTTCCCAGGGGCATCCCAGAGTTGTGACCCATGCATGGAACCTCCTGCATGGTTTGGGGGAAATCGTGGCTCACCACCCGTCCGTTTTCTCCACTGCTGGTTCCTGCTGCAGATGTTCTGGGGAGGGTTGATGTCCGTATGGCTTCATTGATTGATTGCTGTGGGATCAAACAAAAACCCTTTTTGAGAGAGACAAGGGGGGGGGTCTCCCCCCTGTCCTTAGCAATGACTGGACCATCATAATGTACAACATTTTATAATTGTCTTTTCTTTAGTTTGCTAGTGCTTCACATTCTCTTTCTTCCCCAATTCCCTGGCACCTCCCCTAAACAATTCAAGACAAATTTCAGATTGAACTTTTTGTAACTCAGCATTCAGTCCTGACATCGCTGCAATGACTACCATGGATGGATGTTTTGTCATCGCAATGTTAGAAATTTGGCTAGCTTTACCAGGAGATACTCTATATCAGCAGTGGGCAATTTGGGCAGGTCCAAGAGACATTCCTACAATGAAATTCCCCACAGGTTTCACAGGTCACGGTTACTGCGTGCTGCTATGTTTCAGACGTGGAAGAGCAGAAGTTATACTTCCAGTTTTCCAGCCTTTGTTCTGTTCATCCCAACAAGGTGCATGGGAACGGCATCCCTTGTGTGAAAAGAGAACCACACTTCCAGCAGTCGGATTCTCTTTCTTTCTATGAATTTCAGAGCTGACAGGGGACAGAAAAACTAAAGGAAGTTCAATTAGACTAACATTGCCTTTGAAAGGACATTTGGAAGTGATAAGAGTGGGAGAGAGAAAGGGTCAGGCAGCTGGTCCTTACTTGTGCTGATTTTTCCTTGAAACAGCATTTTGCCCCTGCCCTCAGTTCTTATTATCCTGGAAAATGTTAGGCTGGAAACACACATTTACTGAGGGCAGGAGTAGTTCTGCCTTGAACACATAAGTTCACATTGCCATATGCTTTATATAGTTAATATCAGGACTCTAGCGGGTTGTATATATGTCAGTATTGTTGATTGTGTTCTATGGTGCTATGGAATAAGGGCTGGACTTAGATATGGGAAACCACATTTCTGTCTTAATTGGCTATGAATGGGAACACAGGGAAAACAGTGATCTCCCTCAGTCTCGACTATATTATAGGATGCTATTCAGAAATCCTTGGATATTTAAAATTGCTTTTCTGTTCATTTTGAGATGTGTTGCTAGACATGCCTGCATACATGATTAATAAACAGGGATATTTGCAATAGGAGTGCTTTAGGGAAGTGTGGTTTTACTTGGTGTTCATTCTTTCACCCTAAGGATATTCATAAATCTTGTTTATGAACAAGGCTGTCAAGCTACACTGAGATACCCCGGTGGAAAAAAAAATTAACTGCTGTGAGTCCCCCCCCCAGTCCTGCTCATAGTGAAAATGCTGCCCCTTTTTCTTTTGCAGCAACATTATCTAATGCCTCCCCTTCTGCTTTGTAGAAAATATGAGATCCTGAATTCTGTTTCCCTACATGATTCTATAAAGGCAATTGCTCAATGGAATGTACTCATTTCCTAGGCTGGCCATCTCCTGCTCAGTCTTTCTGCGGACTACCCAGTCTGTCCCATATTTTTTTCTGGATGAGACATACAACCAGAAGCTGAGGAAACAAGAAAACTGCTTTTGTGATTGACTGTTTTCAGCTGGCTTTTGGACAAGGAGTATTATGCAAAATGCAAAGGTTTTGCCCAACCACCCCCATCCAAATGTCCCAAATTTATGAAAGATGGGAAACTTGGAGGGTATCTATATTAGGATTTATCCTCCATTTCTGTCCCCCTGTTGGGATGGTCAACTGCAATCTATTTTGCAGTGACTATGTGTCATCTATCTGATGACCCAGCCTTTTCCAGTCTCTTTTCTACTCTCTTTGGGTCAATGGCAGAAGCTCCTTTTTTTATGATTGAGTTCACACTGTTTTAGTTCATAGTCACCTATTTGTGTCCCAGGTGACATCTTCAAGTTGGTTTGACATAGAATCACAGTGTAGAGCAGGGACACCCATCCTCTTCTTTCTAAAATAGTTCTTTTAAAATAGATTGTAAGATATGCGCTATGCCAGTTTAGTGATGGACTTGTGTGACAGGGGGGAAAAAAGGACAGAGCAGCCTGCTCCTCTCCCCACTCCCCAATTTCAAAGGAGATGGAGGGGGGGAAGACCTCCTTTCCCTTCCTCAGTGTGGGCAGGGAAGTGGGAGAAAAGCTGATCAGCAATTGCTCTTTCCTAGGCACTGCCACAGAATCCTCAGCTAGGGTGGGGTGTGCATGTGAATGTGAGTGTGTTCTCTTTGGGGAAGGAGAAGTTCCTAAGCTGAGCCAACGGCTTGTTGCCTGGCTGGCTGGCTAACAAACAGTCTGGCTGCTGTTGCTCTTCTACCTGAGGTGTGTGGGTGTGAACCTCCTTATTTTTCTTATATTTTCTTACACA